GTTATCAGGTGATAAATCTGAAAATTGTAATTTGTTCATTACGGAACTTTATTGGAAGGCAAAACGATGAAGGTAAGCTCATTTCAAGGTCACTAAAATAAAATTTGCTGTGTATTATTCATTAATAAACTTTCATTTTTAAATTAATAATTTATATATATTGTAATTTTATGAATTTAATATTTGATAATAATTGAAAATTGTGGTTTTCTTTGATTAAAAGCAATATAATATACTGTTATATTTTATTTGTTATCGTTTATTTGATATCTTTAAAAATAAAAAACTCTTACTACTATTTAATTATAAAATATAAATTATATTTTTCTACTGATCGTTAAATCATCTTAATCTTCTTAAATTATCTTTATTATTTAAGCTTTCAAAAGAATTTCTGAAACTTCTTTTTGAATAGATAACTTACTTTATGAATATCATTTTATAAAATTGTTAAATTAACTAGAATTGTTAGGATACAATTTGACTAATTTTACGAATATAAGTTATGTCACGGTATTCTTCACATTGTATTATGACGAATGAATATACAAAGATATAGTTAGTATGAAAATTGTAGTATTGAAAAATCAAGTTAATATGTTCATCTATCCAATATAGAAACTAGTTCCGTTATAATATACAAAAAAAGAATAGTCGGTCAATGTATGATTATTATCATTAACGGGAAATAGTTAGATATTTCTCTATTCATTGTTGAGAAAATATCGTCTTTATATAAAAAAAAGAATGAAAGATGTTTATTCGCACACTAGAAAATGAACCGACATTTTCATTAATAATAATTTTATATTGTATAAATTAAATTCATATTTAATTACGCTGCTCTTTATGAGTAAGAATCAAATTAGTAACTTTAAATTTTTATATAAATTTCAATGAAATAAAATAAAAAAAATCAAATAATATATTATAAGCGAATAATAAATTTAATTTACTTTTTTTTACATTTATCTTATCAATCATTTAAATTTTCTCTCATAAATTAAATTATTTCATGCGTTTTCATTTATCATGCGCCATAATAAATCAAAACGATAAATAATAAAGTATTAAAAAAAAAATTTAAAGAATATATCTTCTATTAACGTGTACTGGAGAAAGAAAATCACTCACCGGAAATGCAATTCGAGCGAAAACGAATCATAATCGTTACGATACAACTTGTTGCATCCGCGGTCATCATCTCTCAATCCATCGGTTTGGATCATTATTTCCAGGTTCGACTATTTTCTTTTCGACCTCACTCCTCACCTGGCTTCTTACTACCCTCGCTTTTCCTACCATCGATGTAGCACACCGTCCCACTTTACCTGCTAACAACTCACAGCACTTCTCTCTTCGGTTTCATTGCCAGTGCCAGCGTTTCTCAAACTATAATTGCTTAATGCCACAATGAATATCCATTGTCACGGTCATTGTTACGATAGTTCAACATAATAGATTACGAATGGCGTTGAATACAAAAACAATTCGTTTGTAATGTTTTAATAAATAATGAAATTTATGCCGTAAAACTGCAATTAAAAATTTTTTTATTTGTTTTCTTTATTAATTTCTTTTATTATTTTTATTAATAATTTATTATAGAGTTTATTCAAATACTAAAATAATATGACTGAATAAAAAAGAAATTTTATCGAATTTTATTCAAAAAGATTTAAGAATCATTGATTTATATTTCACGTATTTATTTTATATATATTATAATTACAAAGAATGAAATTAAATTCATATGTTAATATGCGAATACCATTGGAATAAAGTTTGAATTTCCAATTTGGTATGTCTATTATAATAAATTTATTTTATACATATTTTCAGCATCCATTATTTATATATATAGAAATTAAGTTAAATGTTAAATTTAATAAAACTGTTAAAAAAATATAAAACTGTTAAAAAAAATTGTTAAAAATTTAATAAAAATAGAATAAAAATAATAAACATTGATAAGAAAATATCTACTGACCTTTAATTATAATAATTGATCTAATTTAATTTTTCTTCAAACTTCACTTGAAACATAACAGATAAATCAATTAACAAAATTTTAGACGACAAATTGGATGTGTTGGCTATTGATCACGTGTATCTGCCTTGTCGAAGCTAGATATAAGATTAGAAGACCATTGCCTCCTCCACAGCCTCCTAAATTGATGTTCAAGAAATCATGGCCACTTACTCATCGAATTTCAGTGGGAAATACAATGCATATCAATGGAAATTTCCCATTGAAACGAATAGCTCACAAACCCTCGAATTATAGGTGAATCTTTGAGAATATATAGAAAAAATATATTTTTCATCGAACGTGACATTTTCTCGATCTATCCCTTATTCCAGAATTCGTCGACCTCCGATGTTCAATGTGCCATCTACCATTTGGAAAAATCAGATTCCAATAAGAACTTCTTTAAATAATCATGCGGTTTTACCACAACGTCCACCAGTTAAAGAATTTCATACCGTAAATAAAATGCCGGAATATAGTCCTGAATATAGACCGGAAGCTGCTGTTTTGCCACCGACTCATAGAGGTGGTGTCGATGATGACAAGGGACCAATTCATACGATTCCTGCGCCTAATCTGAGTCCCATGGATAAACCTTTCAATAATGAAGTGAATATAGAAGAAAATTCACGTCAACAAACAACTGATGCTACTTATAAAATCAATCCACATGGTTAGATTCTAAAGTAACAAAATTAATGATTTAGAAATTTAATTTTTTAATAATTAAAAATATTTTTTTTATATATATTTATTTTACATTGTTTTATAGGCTCCTTATTACCAAATTTTGATCTTGCTACTATTAGCACAAGTTTAACACCGCAGAAAACTGTAACGAGTCCCACTCCAGTGCAACATAATTACGAAGTAACTGAAAGCAATGATATCAGTCAAAAAGAATATCAAACCGTTTTACCGACATTCTTGCCTCCAGACTTTGCAACTCTTTCAACATTGGTGAATCCTGACTTACAAACAAATGACGTTTATTTAAATAATCATCCAGCGTCGAATATAGGTCTCATCGGAACAAACATTCAACTCGGGCAGCCCAATTTACCAATGCAAACTAATCTTCATAGTTCACTGCATGTTGGTTTCCCTGGTACCGCTGGACAGACTCCATATATTATAAATCAACAAATACCTGATCTACATGTTGGTCATCCAGCTCCTGCAGGCCCTCCGCTTTCAGCAACTCAACTTTACGATCTTTTAAACAGCTTTCCTCAAAAGATGCCAGAACAATATCAAACAGGTATGTTTCACATTCAAAATGTATCGTCATAAACTAAATTAAAATATAGAGAAAATATAACATGTTTTTCAGTATGTGAGATAGAAACGTTTTTTAATAAGTTTTATGCGTGTTAATAACCTCTTTTATGACACTTGTTGCAGAATATGTATTATTTAACGACCGAGCAAGTGTAACACTTTCATATTAAACATTTTTTTATAATAAACATATTATAATATATAAAATTTCTTTCTAATAAATAAAAGAAATAACTTAGAAAGATTAGTCAAAAAATAAAAAATTATATTATTAATATAACTATCATAATGTTATATATACTTATATTCATTTGGTAACTATCGATTAAAGTTGATATTTGTATCGAAGAGGTTAACTTAATTTTATCGATATGGAATATCGACTTGTCCAAATTGTTATTTAAATAACGAGATAAATTGAAACGATTTTGATTCCAGGTCAACAACCACAACTTCAGCAACATATTCTTCAGCAACAACTTGGTCAATTCTTTCAACCTACCGGTGTAACTGGTTTCTCACAACCCCAGATGCAATCGTTCAATTACGATGAACAAGATAATAAGGAGCAGCAACAGCAGCAGGTCTTGTTCAATCAAGATTACGTCGCTGGAAGAGTCAATACGAATTACAATATAGGACCGGAGACTTCCATAAATGATGAAGAAAGTGCTGGTTTGCAACAAAACGAAGATCTCACTTATATTACTGATGGAAACGAACAATTAGAAAATAACATTGAATACGAGGAAAATAACGATCAAAAGGATCAAACGACATATTTTAATAAAGTAGCTAATGATGATGGAATTTCTACGCAATTTTATACGACACTACCCAATCGTGAAGCTGCAGAAAAATTAGCAGCTCTAGCAGCTGCTGGAAATGTTAACAGTCAATTGATTGGACAATTGCGAAAACAACAACAGCAACGAGAAAATGTACAGAGTGAAGAAACTATGCCGCCTAATCACAAAAATGAAGAATACAAAACAAATGAGCAAATTAATAATGATCGTTATAATCAAAAGTATTATCAAGATCATGTTCAGAATCGACAAAAACAACAATACAGTCAGCAAAAACATGAAACATTACAATATGAAGAACGTCAGAAGGAATATGATAGACAACAGAATCATCAACAAAATATTTATAATAACAAACGACCACTAAGAATTATGGTGCCAGATGAAAATGATTATAGCAATACCGAATCACAAAACAATGAAAAAAAAGAAAATACGGAAATTGAATACGAATATGAAAATGACGAGGCGGATATTGGAAATTCGCAATCGTTCGATGAAAGATCGTCTTATGATCAATCAAATACTGAATTTGGATCACGTTTGAATCCCAAGACTGGAATATAAGTTTTTTTTTTTAAATATTGTATATATTGTTGTACGTGAATATTTATTACAATCCTATTTATCAATTAAAAATAGTTTTATTCTTACGGGGATTTAATTTATAATTAAATGAATGAATAATGAATAAGATTTTTTTTGGATGGAAAATGGAAAAATTCACATTGTTCTTTACAAAATACTGATGAAACATCTTTTTTAAGATTATATTTTGAAATTACTACTTTTATATTTTCATCGATGATATATTGAAGACACGCGATAGATAATTTAATTTATTTAAATATTATTTATTATTAGACGAAATTATTTGTACTTAATTATGAAAAAATGGATAAAAGATATTGCCATTGATTTAGAGAACTCATTTTTTATTTCAATCATTGCGCATCACCAACCTGAATTACATTTATATATATGTACATTTATATATCATTGAGGTAATCTATTTATATGGTACAGGAGTCATTCTGGTTATAAACAAAAATCTACGGAGATTCTATTTTTCAAGGATCATTTTTTTTTTCTGTTTCTTTTCTTCTTATAAAATTTGCCAATAAAACATCATAAGTACATACAGTAAAAAATACCTTATAAGAAATATATTTGACCAAAGTTAATATTATCATTGCACTTATCAAAGAATAGAGATTAATCTTGAAAAAACAAATCTCGCATGAACGAAAACGAAGATACTTTAATCATTATTATGTTTAAGTATTCACAAAATTTGAAATGATATAAACTGACGATAATTTATAAAAGAATACTACTATGATCGATCCATGAACCATGGCTTGCCATTATTTGTAAGCCGTTTTGTAAGAATATCGCAACCAGTTTCGGTAACAAGAAGCGTGTGCTCAAATTGTGCCGACCATTGACCATCTGCGGTAACTGCTGTCCAAGTATCAGGCCACATTTCGTCTCTCCATGTACCTTGAGATATCATTGGTTCAATAGTGAAACAGTGTCCTGGTTTCATAACACCCACAGCTTTGTTTTCTAAAAATAATGAAATCAAATTAAATTAAAAGTATAGATTTAATGTAATTATAAATAGAATTATAAATAGAATATTTACTGGCATAGTGAGGTACACTTGGCGCAGTGTGGAATAAACGATGAATTCCATGACCGCAATAACTACGTACTACGCTAAATCCATGCGCTTGTGCATGTTTTTGAATTATATTTCCAATTTCTCTATATTTTTCTCCGGGTCGTACAATGTCTATAGCTTTTGATAAACATTCATATGTAACTTCGACTAATTTTTTTATTTCAGGTTTCACATTACCGACTAGAAACGTTTCATTTAAGTCACCGTGAAAACCATTATGATACACAGTTACATCAACTATAAAAAAATAAGAATTATGATATATTATTGTACTTATATCGAGTCTATATTTAAAAAAATATATTATAGTACCATTGCAGATATCTCCATCTTGAAGTGGCCTAGTATCAGGAATACCATGGCAGATTACTTCATTAACAGAAGTGCAACAACTAGCTGGAAATTGATAATAATTCAGTGGAGATGGATAACAGTCTCTTTCAATGCAAGCTTCATGAACTGCTTTATCTATCTCAGCTGTTGTAACACCTACATCACAGGTACGTGCAGCTTCATCCAAGACTTCTCTTCCAAGCTATAATAAAAATTTTGATTAGATTTTTTTTATCATAAAAAAAAAAAGGGCAAAAATATTTTGAAAAAAATGATATAAATCTTTAATAACTTTTTACCTTACAAGCTACCCGCATGCCCTCAATTTCTTCATCATCAAGAATTTTTATTTGGGCAGAACCTCGTACTGATTGCTCGCTCACAGATAAACCGGTAGGATGTGTAGCATAATCTGGACGTTTAATATGTTCGGGTACTTCACGACGTGGTTCTCTTTTAAAAGGGCGTAATTTACCAGTATAATGATAAAAAGGCCATGGATTATATTCACCAGATTTATCTCCTCCTGTTCCCTCTAATAAGATAAAAATTTTTATAAATTATTTTATAAGTGTATTTTTAAACATTTATTTAATCAAAAATATATTTATAATTATAATTATAAATTTATTTTACGTAATTATTAACAATTAACTCACTCGCTAATTGATGAATAACTTTGTGTGTTTTCCAACTTCGTTTGAAACAATCCTATAACAAAATACAAAAATATTAAAAACATATAATCAAAGAAATGATTAAAAAACTTTTCGAAAAATCATATTATTATTCTAATTCTTTTATATATACATATAACATTTATTAATAATAGTAGTATCGGTTATTAACAATGCTGTAATGTAATCGGTATAAAAATAAATCAAAATGCATCAAAGAATAAAATTTATATTATTATTAATTAATGGCATACGATATATATTTAAATATCTAATATATTTATTTCTTGAGTTAACCTACAAATATACAGAATGATACTAACTTGAGTGCAGAAATATGAGCCTTGTATTCCAATTTTCAAGCAAGTTGGGCATTGAAGGCTGGCTATAGTTTTACAACCTGGAGTTTCACACATACCAAAAGTGAGTGCCATTTTTCTCGAATCTTTTTTCGAAATTTTTGCGTGACGTGACTCGACGAACGAGGCACGAACAGGAAGAAGTAATTTGAGACGATCCTGTACTGCTTTACCGATAGATTTGTCTATTAATCTATCATGAACGATAAAATATCTAAGATTCATCGTTTTTTTAGCAGCACGATATATATACAACATCAAATCAACACTTATTCATATATTATAATATAAATTTTAATAAAAATGAATCCACTTAATTATAATATTGATAATTTTCTGTATTGTTTTAATAGCAATGAAAATATTATCATTCAATCAACAATTATAGCATTGCATTCTATTTATATATTAAGAATAAGTCGTTCATTAAATATTAAGAAAAGTAGAACAATCATCAATTTTATTAATTTACTTGAAATTGCTATAGATACACTTTTCTTTATGAATATAATATATTACTATAGAAATTTGATACTGAATATTATTCGAGATATTTACGATTAAGATTTTATTACTTTTAAAAAATATAATTAAGTTGTCAAATGAATAACGCGGTGATTTTTATGGAATTATATATAATTCAATTTTTCGCGCCAATTTGAGTGGATAATGAACATACAACTCTAACCAATCAAAAAATTGCTATGAGAATCGGTGCGCATGCCCGTGACATGGCGTCAGTTTGCTCTTAAAAATCGTGACGACAGAACGAATTACACCGGAATTGTGTAGAATTTTTATTGATAGAATAGTGTATTACGATTTAATATCGAGTATTATATTCGTAATTTCGTTGATTCGTTAATAAATGTTCGTGTGATCATTTAATAAACGTTATTATAATAATAAAGTTAAATAACGTCTTTTCTCGTCATGTGATACCGCTCATCTATTTGAAAGTTAAAGTTACTGGTAGTTCGTATTATAAGTGTGATAGTTTATGCATACGTCACAATGACCAGAAGACGACGTGCTAACTTTCGTATCAATAAGGTATAATTATTTATTTTTTTTAACATAAAGCGTAGTTTTATAGTTTTATTTCTACAAATTCTCATTTCTTTTTTATCTATCTATCCGTATGTTCAATGTCTCGTGTATTATTTCTGTTTGTTTTCATTTTACATTCAAGGTCTCGAGATTAAAAACATTTGTTATAATACAGCTTTTCCGGGAAATTCGCGTTCGTGCAGCGATAGATTTCTTGTTGCCAAACAAACTCCCTCCCCAATTTGTAATTCGATACATTGAAATCGCTAGACGGCATATTATTCAATTATTGAAAATTATGACACTTTATGTAGGCTTTTTGTATATATGAATACCATAGAATGCATGTGTGATGTCTTTTACTATTTTCTAAATATAAGAGTAAATAATATATCTATATCTAGGCTAAATATATCTATTAATTATAAATAAGTAAAACAAGGTAGGTTGTCAAATATAATATTTTTTTTTTAATTATAGATTATTATATTATATTATTATATTATATTTCTTAAAAAAAATTTTTTAATAAGAAAATTAAAATTTATATTATTTGA